GCTATGTGGGATTATTTTACTTGGTTACTAGTTTATTATCTGTCTCCTCTAAGAGAATCCAGATTCCATTAAAGTACTTGTTTGGTTCACCCAATACTGATCATCCCAATACTGGGATGCAGGGGCTTCCAAAATATTTGTTGGAAGTATTTGTTTGGTTCACCCAATACTGATCACCCAATACTGGGGATGCAGGGGCTTCCAAAATATTTGTTGGAAGGTGAATGAATCAATACATGAATAGCATTAGCAGAAAATGGAAAAAGAAATTAAATTTCCTTGAATATACGATTCTGCTCTTCTAAGAAGAAATTCCTAAGAAAAAGAGGTAGGATGCCCAGGCGGGAACTTGGGTGTGTGGTCTCTCCAGCACACAAGACTGGATGAAGGTACACAGCAGCACACATGGCAAGCCATGACGTCTCTGCTCCCTGCACAGGTCAAGGCTACAGGGAGAAGGCCATGGAGAACGCCAGCCACCCAGAAGATGAGGAGCTTGCCCACTGTCCCTTGGAGCCTGCATCTACACCACACAGGCAGCACCTTCTTTGTTGAAGCCCTGAGCACAGGCTGCCAGGAAGAGATAGCCCTGGGGTTGTGCCACATAGCTGAGAGGCAAACTCTGGCTGAGCACTTGCTGCTAGGTGGTAGGATGGGTACTACATGGAGCACATGGTTTCTGCCTTCCAAGGCCTAGCCATCTAGAATGGGAGACAAAAATTATAGAGAAAAAGAGGTCTAAAAAAGTGCCACAGGAACCTCATGGAGATTAAAAAATGTCTGCTCTTCCCACAATGTTGTTATGAAAAAGAAAAGACATGCCACAGACTGGGGGACATCACTGCAAAATGCCTCTGATAAAGAACTTGCACTCAAAATACATAAAGAACTCTGGAGGCTGAGGTGGGTGTATCACCTGAGGTCAGGAGTTCCAGACCAGCCTGGCCAACATGCCAAAACCCCGTCTCTACTAAAAATACAAAAATTAGCCAGGTGGGGTGGTGCACGCCTGTAGTCTCAGCTACTCAGGAGGCTGAGGCAGGAGAATTTCCTGAACCTGGGAGGTGGAGGTTATAGTGAGCCAAGACCACGCCACTGCATTCCAGCCTGGGCGACAGAGTGAGGCTCCATCTTAAAAGAAACAAAACAAAAAAACCCCAAACTCTCGAAACACAACAATTTTTTTACTCAACTCAATTTAAAAAATTAGCTAAGGATTTGAAAAGACTCTTCACCAATAAAGACATGTATGGCAAAAGAAACACACGAAAAGATGTTCAATGTCATTAGGAAAATGCAAATTAAGATCATAAGATACCAATGCATGCCTATTAGAATGGTGAAAACTAAAAAGGTGACCACGCAAGTGTTGGAAAGGAAGTAAAGGAACTAGAACTCTTGTACACTGGTGGTGGGACATAAAATTATATAGGCATCTTGGAAAACGGTTTGGCAGTATCTTAAAATAAACGCAAACATACACATACCTCCCATAATTCTATGGGAGACATGACTCAGCCATTCTATTTGTAGGTATTTACCGAAGAGAAAAAGGATGTATATGCCCATACAGGTCTCTGTATGGACACATATTGTATGAGGCCACACAAATGCTCACGGCAGTTTTTAACAGTATCAAACTGGAAACAACCCAAATTTCCAGTGACAGATGAATGAATAAACTGTGGTATGTTCATACAATGGAATGCTGCTCAGCAATAAGAAGAAATGAACCACGGATACACACAGCAACATGATGGATTTCAAAATAATTATGTACATTGAAAGAGGCCACACCAAGAGGAGTACATGATGCATGACTGTTTATGCAAAATTTTAGAAAATGCAAACTAATCCAGAATGACAGGAAGCAGATTATTAGTGTTACTTGGGGAGAGGGGTGTGGGAGGCAAGTGAGAAGGGGGAGGAAATGTTTGGGATGCTGGATTGTATACTCTCTTGATCAAGGTGTTGATTTCATGGGTATTTACGTATGTCAAAATATCAAATTGTACACCTTAAATATATGCAGTTTATTGCATATCAATTAGACCCCAATAAAGCTTTTTCTTTAAAGGGGCTCTGCTTCTGGCCAAGATGGATTAGATTTAACCTTCTGATTCAGGCAACTTAGAAAGCAAGACAATATATACAAAACAATGGTTATCAGTCTATGGATAAACAGGCAGCATAGGAGAGAGATCCCTGAGAGACAGAAGCGCAAAGGCAGTGGCCCAGTGACTGCTCCAACTTGCTGTCCAGGAAAAGTATCCAGGCCTCAGCACAGGGAAAGAAAACCAAAAGACAGTGTTCTCTCAGAGATGAGAAGGCAGAGTTTGGAGTTCAGGAAGATCAAGTGGCTAAAATTCATGGACAAGAGAAACAGAGCTACAGAGAGAGAGCTCCAGACACATGCAGAGGGTTTTTAAGGAGGCTCAGCTGAGTTCTGGCCAATGCGTACATATGAAGAAAGGGAAAGACCTGCCAGAATGAAGCCTGTGGAACAATTCCTGGAGCTCACACAGGGCTGGCCAGTGTGGAGAGACCCCCTCACCACGGGACGCTATAGAGTCTCAGAAGGGCACTGTCTCAGTAGTGGGGAGAAGTTAGTCCTAAACTAAAGGCTGTCTGGACCAGCTCTCACAGAGCATAAAAGCAAGCCCCAAAAAAGGATCAAACCAACTCCAATTAACTTAATCATTGGCCCAAAAATATTTACAGGAAGAATCTAGCAACCAGCTGTGTAAAAACCACAGTAAGTGTCAACCAATCAAAAATGACCAGGCATGCAAAAAATGGGGGAGGAACTCCAAAAGTAGGAGAAAAACCAGTAAGAGACATACAGTTAGAAATGACACAGATGTAAGACCACAGTAAATCAGAAGGGAAATTGTACAATATTTTAAGCTGAATGAACCTCCTATGTCAAAACTTATTGGATGCAGGTAAAGCAGTGCTTAGAGGGAAATTTATGGCAGTAGAGTCATAGAGAAGAAAGGTTTAAGATTAATGACTGGAAAGGAAATAGCCTGAGGGATATTTTTTCTGATAATAAAACTATAATATCTCCTGATTGCATGGTATTCACACATATCCATACATGTCCCAAAATTCACAGAATTAAATACAAAAATGGGTTGGTTTTATGGTATGTTAGTTAAAAAATAAGTCGATTTGCTGAAAAAAATCAATGATCAAAGCTTCCATCAATGATTAAAATCAATTGTTAGAGCTTCTTTATAAGAAGCTATAAAACAAAAAGTAAATTAAATTGGAAGCAGCAGAAGGTAAATAAAATAAGCCTAAGAACAGAAATCAATAAAATAAAAAACAGCAGAACAATAGAGGGCAGAAATAAAATTAATCCTCTAGCCAAACTGATTAGGAAAAAAAAAATGAAGACCTAAATTATCAATACCATGAATCAAAGCGGGAACATCACTACAGATCCTACAAACATTAAAAAGATAATTAAGGAATATCATAAAGTTTATGTCAATAAATTTGACAGTTTAAATGAAATGACAAACTCCTTGAAAGACACAAGTTACCAAAGCTCACTCAAGAAGAAATACATAACCTTGAAAAGCCCCATAACTACTTAAGGAATCGAGTAGTTAAAAACCTTCCATCAAAGACAACCCCATACTCAGATGGCTGCAGTAGTTTAAGGAACATTTTAAGGAAGAAATAACACTACAAAGATTCCTCCAGAAAAATCAAGGAAAGAATATTTCTCAATTCATTCTGTAAGATGAGCATAACCCTGAGAGCAAAATCAGACAAGAGAATTACGAGAAGACTACAGTATCAGTCATGAACCTAGACGGAAAAATCCTTAATATCTATGATTTGCTATGATTTGCTCACACATTGATAAAAGAGAATGGCAGCTCTGGATGGACATAAACCCATGTGCTGAAACATGATGATGTGAGAAGGGCAAGGTACAAAACACAATATGAGTACCTCCATTTATGGCTAATAAAACCATATACACTCCTTCTTGGGTTTGTTTGGCCATCTTTAAAAAGACACAAGAGAAATCAGTAGCAGGAACTGCTTTTGAAGAGGAGAGCTGGGAGCCAAAGCTTGGGGATTTTTTTCACTATATACTCTTCTGCCACCAATCAAGTTATTTATCATGATTAATGATTTCAGAACACATAAACTTAAGTTATGTCATGTATGTTTTAATGCCTCTAGCCATAGGCTGTCTTAGTAAAATCCAACTCTACCTACTCCCCAATAAACTTATGGAAAACCTACTAAAACATCACTTGATGTTTTACTAAGCCAAACCCAGCTCTGGCAGGGGTTAGAAGGAATATTCTTGAATTCTTCTTTGAAGAGATTCTGATGTGGAGGCTTCAGAAAGTGCCCATGTCAAGCCAGGTGGCGCAGACAACAGTAGCTATTCCCAGGAATGGACATCAAGGCAGTGAATGAATAAATTCTAACAAAACCTGTCAGCCTCATCAGAGTTGGATCCTGGCCATGCAGCCTCAACAGGGGAAGCCAGAGAACCACACCTTTCTTCAGAAAGGAAACCTATGCTTCCACAAAGTCCACCCAGCGTCAATTTCGGCTCTGAACCCAGAATAAGAACATCAAGTGTTATAAATAGCAAAACCAAGATTACAATTTGACTGATTTCAGTTTTGATGTTAGGAAAGAGGTCAGATGTTAAGTCAGTTGTAAATCAAGGGGTCAAAAGAAAACCACAGGGTGAATATAGTCATCCTGGGTTAGGCAGTCAAGGTACCTTTCCCCATATTACCAGAGTAACCAATTCCTGTGGTTTCAGTTGGTAGAAAAACACCTGAGAAATTCTAAAGAGGCTAAAGAAGAGTGGGAGTCAAAACCAAAAAGGACCACCAAAACCAGAAAGGAAATTCTGTATAGAAAGCACCCTTCTTTGTCCTCTATGCAGCAGAGGGGAAGGATGCTATGCGTACGCAGGGCCCAGCGAGGAAGTCTGGCAAGGCAAGAGTGCCTACCTTTATTATGAGACATGGCGTAGAGGAGGCAGAGCACAAACAAGGCGTGGTAATCATCATCCGGGCTGTCCAGAGCGTGGTACACCATATCCAGGAAGGGTCTGGAAAAGAGGAGGGGCATCCATGAGCCTTGTGGTGCACGTGGGTGAACACTTTCCCTCTCTAACCTGTACATGGGGTGCTAGCTGTCTTTGGTACAGCTCTTTAGGACACAACTATGTTCCTGGTCCAGCACCAGGCCCTGAGGATACAGACAAATGAGAGACAGGCTCTGCCCGGGAAAGCTGCTATCCAGAGGGGAAACTGACCAAGGAACAGACTGCTGGCTTAGTCAGCAGGTATTCCAGACACACAGAATCAATGATACAAACTCCCCACAGCAAAGCTTTCATGTCAGTTTGTAGAGAGACAGAACAGACAGACATCACTGCAAAGCGATGTGTGTCACAAGAGAATGAAGAAAACAGGACAGGGTGATATCAAACAAGGCACAAACAACAATCCAAACACATTCAAGACCATGAGCCCTGGAGCCATATTGTCTGGGTTCAAATTCTGATTCTGTCTATTCTCAGCTTTTTATTTAGCAAATCCTTGAGCAAGCTACTTAAAACCTCTCTATTTCCCCATCTGTATGGCATGGATTCCAACCTTGCAGAGTTATTGTGAGGATTCAAGTCTAATGAAGACTGAAAAGCATTTAGCACAGGGCCAGGCACTGTGGTTGGTGCCAATGCATGACAGCTGCTGTTTGATTTCTATTTTTAACATTCCAAGGGTACTACTTCATGATTTCATTTTGGCAGGGTCCTGAACCAGCAATTTCTTGGACCGACTTTCTCTGACTGCTAAGAATTGACAGTGAGGTCTCTCACCTCTGATGCTTTGTGGGTGAGATCTGTAGAGAGGCTGCAAATATCGGAAATGGCACACCCCAAATGCACCTTTCCAGATGAAGGGCCTGACGGGAAAAGACTCTTCACCACCAAGAGAACAGAATATGCACAGCGCTGGCTCACAGGCAAGAGGCTCTGATCCCCTGTCTGTGGTTGCCCCTTCTGAATGCCAGGTTGAGGCCAAGAGAACAGAGTACCTTCATGAGTGACCCCGGGCATATTTAATTTCTGGAAGGACACTCAAGCTCCAATGAACACTGGGTGCCTATGGGGAGTGAAAGAGGCCTGTGGAGACACAGGGAGTGTTCACGATACAAACTATGAGACAGTTTTGAATTTTTGACTCTATACATGTATCACTGACACAAAATGTTTCACTGAAAAATGCAAAAGAAAAAGTATGAAAAATCTACTTATAACATTTCAAACACACATATGACCACAAAAACTAAAAAAAAAAAAAAAAAACTTAAAGGGGACATTTGTCTTCCGTCCCCGTCTCTCCACAGTCCCAGATGGGGCACCACCTTTCAGATGTGTTAATAGTTTTGTCATGTGTAGATTTGCGTTTTGAAAGCATCCAGCAATAACACTTCCAAACTTTGGGTGGGATAACATTTTCTTGTAAATCAGCTGCTTGAAATTTGGATTATATTTCCATTTGGGAATAATATGAATAATCAAATGGCAATAACTGGGTGAGTACCATCTTTTATGAGATGAAGTATCACGAAGCCATTAAGTGTTTTGTTTACACAGGGTAGAATATGGTGAAAAAAGGTTGCTTGAGGGTTGATATTAGATGGAAAAAAGGAGGAATAAAAAATTATAGACATGATACGGTCCAAGCTTCTGGGAGAAGGGAGGGTGAAATTCCCAGAAAGCTCACATTGGGAAAAAATAAGAAAAGAAAACTGGTAAGAAATGGCCGGAATGGTAGTCCCGCTGACTCTGAACACCAGCAGCATGAAGGCTTTTTTCCTTTCTTTACACTCTTCAAGATTTTGCATACTTTCATAATTTTAAAGTTTTTTTTTTTTTAAGAAAAGAAGCAATGTTTTAAAAGCTTTAAGTTTCTTAGGTCTATATTTAACTCCAAATGCAGATAGAGCCCATAACATATGGGGAATATAAAATGGTCTGCTTTTTACCATGCTTGTGCCTTGGGGCAAGTGGACCAATGCCAAGATCCAATTCATATCCTGGAGAACAAATGGCCACTTTCCCACCCCACTCCCTGCCTCCCCACCAGGAAGTGGGAGGACAGAGGGCAACGGCAGTTTCTTACAACCTGCAACCCGCTACCTTGGCAAAGAAGACAGCAGCTCTCCACCTGGGCCAGTACCGACATTCAGTCTCAGAGTCTAGCAGAGATCTGGCCTGGAGGTTCCCAGGCCTGCAAGCGGCCTAACTCAAGGCAACTGAATCAGCTTCCATTAGAAGCCACGTGCTTGAAGATGCCCAAAGTTAAGCAACAATCTCAATCAACTCTAAGAAAACCCTTCTCTCCACCAAAATTCAGAGAAAAAGAAGTCATCAACCCCAATATTCTAACATAACATTTTGGTCTGTTTTTTACCCTTGTTTTTGGTGGCAGGAGGAATACAGGGTGTTTCTCCTCCATCAGCAAAGCTACAGAACTACTACACTATGAAAAATATGTTCTCTGTTTCCATTTATCAGTTTCTAAGGAGCTGAACACATCATGACAGTATTCACCTAAGAGTACAGCTGATACTCTTTGTTTTTCAGACAGAGTCTCGGTCTGTTGCCGAGGCTGGAGCACAGTGGCAATCATAGCGCATTATAGCCTTGACCTCTCTGGCTCAAGCAATCTCCCACCTCAGCCTCTCAAGTAGCTGGGGCTACAGGTGCCTGCCACCATGCCTGGCTAATTTTTAATTTTTTTGTAAAGATGAGGTCTCACTATGTTGCCTAGGCTAGTCTCAAACTCCCTAGCTCAAGTGATTCTCCCGCCTCGGCCTTCCAAAGTGCTAGGATTCTAGGTGGGAGCCACCATGCCTGGCCTTATCTTCTATTAAGCAGATACCTCTTCCCTTGCTTAAGCACCATCCCACTAACAGTCATTTGTGGCCCTTCTAATTATTTATAGTCTAAAGAATGCTGTACCAAGGTTGTCCCCAACCTTCTGTGTTTGGAATGACTTCCTCAATTTTCAGAGCTTTGGGAGTTTGCTGTCAAACAAAATCTAAAAGGTCTTTGTACTCCACTGTATTTAGCAAAAACTAAAAATGGCTCCCTTGCACATCTGATAGAAATTAATCCCATCTGTTAAGTCATTGAAACATTTGCCAAGCAAAGAGAAAAATAAGATGTGGAAGAAAAAAATTAGTGGATTTCATATCTTGACTTGAAGTTGGATTGCTAAAGAGGATAGGGTGTGTGTGTATTTTCACCACCCTCCCTAGGGGTGGAGGAAGGGAATGCCTTGCAGGCTGACAGAGAAACCCTGGTAGTATGCATTTATTAACAGGAAGGTAGTGCTAATTAGGAGGCTGCTACGGGGGCCTGTGCAGTGGGGCTGCAAGATGAAGAAATCACTCTGAAATGAAGAAGCCCTCCTACCAGTCCCCAGCATACTCTGGAAGTAGGCTTCTCTCCAATCCCATTGTAGAGGGGCTGGTGCTACAGCAAAGTTCCAGGAAATGTGGGGTCACCCAAGTTTAAAAAGATGTAACTACAGATGGCCATCGCTGAAATGAACAATCAGGCAAAAAGTCGAAGGTGGATGGCAGCACTAACTCATGTTTAAGAAGGTTTTGGAAGGTTTAAGAAGATGTAGCTACAGATGGCTATTGCTGAAATGAACAATCAGGCAAAAGGTCAAAGGTGGATGGCAGCACTAACTCATGCGGGCCGAGTCAAGAGGGCAGGCCCTATAGATGGGGTATATGTATGTGTGTGCAGGGCAGGGAATGAACCAGGCAAGAGATCCAAGCCCAGCTACTGAGGGGATGCTTCCTGGGAGCAGCAGAGCATTTCCAGGAGCAGCCAGTGTGAAGCCACCCATGTCCTTTAGACGGAGCCCAGCTCCAAAGCACCAGGAGCACAGCAGGGAGAGTTGCACTATTCTGGCAAATCTCTTTGCAAGGGAGTGAGCATTATAGTGTTGAGTGATGGCTCTATCTCTATGCCTCTGGGTAGCCAGAGTTGGAGAAGCAGGGAAAGAAAGGGAGGCAGCACGGTCTGGCTGAGGGACAGAAAACACTCTGGCCCCAGGGCTCAACATCCCCACTGAGCCCTCTCCTCTTCCCTGAGACGGCACTCAACATTGGCCTCCTGGGCAGCTACCTGCTCCACTGTGCACTCTCGGAGCACGTGGCAGCGGCACTCTTCTCCTCGTCGGTGGTGTTCTGCTCCTGCACAGAGGCGCTGGCGGCCAGCTCTGAGAGCTTGCTACGCTCCATGATCACCATCTCGATCTCTGGAAGCCAAAATGGAGACTGGGATGAGCCCAGGCAGCTATGCAGCTCTAGATTCATACACACGCTCATGTTTGAGAATAAATGTGCATAAATGACTCCTAATAGGTCAAACACATGTCTGACCTGAACACCTGTGACACACTGGGGGAGAAATCAGACAGAGGCCAGAGCCCCTCTTTCTATTCATCATGGCAACACCAATAAACATGTTCCTGATTTTGACAACAAAACATAAATTTCAATCATTTATTCTATTTCAAGAGTTTAAAACGTCCTTTTTACTTTATTGATACCACATTTCCTTCCCAAAGGATTTGAGGCAGCTAAGATATGATATGTGGTTGGTAAACATAATCAACCTCACTGATAATATTCTAAAGCTGCTTACATTTTTTTTTTTTTTTTTTTTTTTTTGAGACAGAGTTTTGCTCTTGTTGCCCAGGCCAGAGTACAGTAGCGTGATCTCAGCTCACTGCAACCTCTGCCTCCCGGATTCAAGCGATTCTCCTGCCTCAGCCTCTGAGTAGCTGGGATTACAGGTGTCCACCACCACACCCAGCTAATTTTTGTACTTTTAGTAGAGACAGGGTTTCATTATGTTGGCCAGGCTGGTCTCGAACTCCTGACCTTAAGTGATTCTCCCGCCTCAGATTCCCAAAGTGCTGTGATTACAGGTATGGGCCACCAAGTCCAGGCAAGCTGCTTACATTTTTAAGAGAAAGCTCTGACTGAAGGCTTTTGTTTTTCTGTTCTACTTACAACTTTCAGAGGGCAGAGTGAGATTAGGAACCTCAATTTATTTTTCCCCCCATTAAACAAGGGTAACCTGTAACAATCAACTTAAGCATAACATGCATTTTTATTTTTCAGAAAAAGTTATGAACCACCAAAGAAAACATCTTGAATTAAAGATGGACGAGGACTGGGCTTTATGGTGTCCCCATCACAGAGTTCTTGGTCATGCAAGCATGGACTTTCAAACAGCCCATGGAACTCATAATTCACATATTTTTCCCCACCTTTGGGAGACATATGGGGGAAAAAGAGATGACAAAATGTGAACCTGCATTTCTGTTCCAGAAGGGTATGGACACATCATCTTGGGCTCAGACGTGGCCTCCACCACAGTCTCCCTCCTGCCAGCTCATACAGTGACCTCTGCCACCTCTTCTGTCACCCTAATTTATTCTCCACACAAACCCAAGGCAATTTTAAGGAAACTAGCTCATGTCACTCTTCTATTCAAAACTCCCAATGTCTACCCATCACTCTCAAGAAAAAATCCAAACACATGGCCTGGCCCCAGTCCACCTCTGACCTTACCTCGCGGCTATCCCTGCCTGGTTGGCTGGTGCCGCTCCAGCTGTGCGGGGCTTCTCGCTATCTCTTGAACATCCCAAGCTTGTTTCTATCCAAGGATCTTTACACAGTAGTTTCCTCTTCCAGAAAAGCTCTCACCCCAGGTCTCCTAGCCAGGTATAATTGGGGTACATCATTCAAGGCTCAGTTCACATGTCACCTCCTTGGAGACATCTTCCTGGACACCCTCTCCACCTGATTTTTTGTTTTTGGAGATAGGGTCATGCTCTGTCGCCCAGGCTGGAGTGCAGTGGTGTGATCGTGCAGCCTTTACCACCTGGGCTCACGTGATCCTCCTACCTCAGCCTCCAGAGTAGCTGGGAACACAGGTTCGTGCCACCACACCCAGCTAATTTTTAAATTTTTGTAGAGATGAAGGTCTCACTATGTTGCCCAGGCTGGTCTCAAACTCCTGAGCTCAAATGATCCTCCCACCTTGGCCTCCCAAAATACTGGGATTGTAGGCTTGAGTCACCACACTGGCCTTCACCTGCTTTTTATTTTTATACCTCTTTAAACATTATTATTAACTAAACTCCACACTTTGAGCAGATTTCATTAGTTCTCCCAATGTCTTTTTTGTGGGACCCCTTTACACTGAGTCCTCCTGGGGTCCCTTTACATTGAGTCCTCATTCTTAGGTTCCCCTGGATGTGACGTTTCTCAGACTGTCCTTGCTTGTGTCATGACCTGGACATTTTGAGAAGTACTGGTCAGGGATTCTCAAGAGTCCCTCACTCTGGGGTTGTCCACTATCTTTCTGCTATTTAGACTGGGGTTACAGGTTTTGAGGAGGAGGACCACAGAGGGGAAGTATCCTTCTCATCACATCATATGAGGGCACATACTATCAATATGACTTATGTGTGTTGATGTTAATCTCCAATACTTGGCCAAACTAATGTTCATCAGCTTTTGCCACTGAGCCTCAACTTTTCCTCCCCCTTCCATACCACATTCTGTGGAGGAAAGTCAGTAACACAGGCCACAGTTACAGAATGGGGCATTACGTTCTGAAGCCTCTTTGCATATCTCATAAATTATCTGGCATTCTTCACTAGAGGACATTTGTCCTTACCTTGATTTTACTTTATATTAATAGCATTTATAATGACTTGGCTCTTACATTCGCTATTGTTTTGCTTCTTTACTGCCTGTCTGCCTCCACTAGAACAGGGGCTTTGTAGCTGTCGTATGTGTCTTGTTCTCCACTGTCTCCAGTGTCTAATCCAGTGCCCGGCACAAAGTACTTAGGTACACCACAAGCATCTCCTGAAGTGATGAATAAATGACTAATTTAGCCCAACACGAGAGGTGTTGACGGCAGGCCCAGCTGGCGACTCACGGTGGCTGCGATGTGAGGCGGCGTGGCCACTGCCTGACAGAGTCTGCCATCAGTGTGGGCTCGAAGTGTTCTCGTGGGGAGATGTCTCACGCCCTGTGAGACTCTCCTGGCTGTTAGGCCTGGCTGCACCTGCACGCACCCCCTGACATGGAGGAGCACCCCCATATCCACATGGGCCCTGGCCCTCTGCTGGGTTTACTCTCACCATCCTCCTTCCCTCCCTCCCATCTGATCTGAAGCCAGATGCCAAAGATCAGAGTCTCCACAGGGCAGGCCCCATCACACAGGTAGGAGCCAGCAAATGCTTTCTAACTGGTGTGTGGACAAATGCATAGTTTTGTACTTATTTCACTGTGCATTACAAGAAAATTCTAGCTGCACAGAATGCCTTCTGTGGATATTAGTGCTTAGAATAAGGCTAAATTTGGGGCAAAAAAGCGAAGTGAGTCAATTCTAAGAAAGCTATCCAGTAAACAGCAGTGCAAATAGCACCCAGATATGGCAAAGAACTGGAATGTGGGCTGAGGGGTAGAGGCTTATGCCTCCTAGCACTTTGAGGGGCCAAGGCGGGATGATCCCTTGAGATCAGAAGTTTGAGATCAGCCTGGCCAACATGGTGAAACCCTGCCACAAAAATTACCCAGGTGTGGTAGTGGGTGCCTGTAATCCCAGCTACTCGGGAGACTGAGGCACAAGAATCACTTGAAGCCACAAGGTGGAGGTTGTAGTGAGCTGAGATTGAGCCACTGCACTCCAGCCTGGGTGACAGAGTGAGATTCTGTTTAAAAAAAAAAAAAAGAGCTGGTATGTGGTGCAGACTGCTGTTTGGGAAACACTGCTATTTCCTTTCTCCCATTTTCACCTCCACCAGACTCCTTCAGGTGCCCAATACCCTCCAACTACCCTGGTTGTCTCCAAAGTGGGTATAGACCTCAGTAGGCATGCAAGATGATTCTCTACGCAGTAGGTCTTTTAATGCTTCTTATCTTTAAAAATCTATTTTGTTTTATACTGTCCATAATATTAGCATAGACATATTATGTATAATTTATAATACATAAATGTTTATATATTTTTGGGAGATGTATGCTTAAATGTCGCATGTATAAGTTTATTTGTGTTTATTAACAAGGCTTGCCATTAGACATCTGAAGATTCCCAAGCAAACCTGCAAGGCCAGCCTCCCCCTCATCTTCTAGTCTCTGGCCTCTGCCCTGTGCAGCAGAGGGCGTAGCATATGCCCACCTCCCCTACAGCTGCAAGTTCTCCTTCCCCAGGCTTAGCTCCACCCTGCTTGGCTGACACAGTGGGAACTCAGCTCCAAGTACTTCCTAAGGTTGTAGGGCCAAGCCAAGTACCCTGGCCTGGAGGCCCAGCTTTGTGACGTGGCTGTCCCCTTTCTAGATTTATCTCCTTGGACACCAGCAGAATTCCGGAGCAGAGGAGAAAGTAAAGACAATTCAGTACCAAGCTCATCAAACGTTTGGTTTTTTTTAAGCAGCTGAATACGAATTTAAAGGATAATTTCCCAGGGCAACCCACCATGGTCAGCAGATGAGCCAGAGCTGCTCCAGGCAAAGGGTTGCGGGCACCAAAGGCCTCTGACTACTGTGGGCTCCCTCATGCACTCCAGAGGCCCCTTTCTGGAATTCTATGGCTTCACACAAAACTGCGTGAGAACCACCAGCTTGTCCAACCCTGGATATTGAATGTGAGCGCACAGAAACCCAAAAGTGCAGTGACTCTTAACACAGCTGAAAATGCATCAGTGAAGCCAGGACCACTCCCCTCCCTCCCTCCCTACCCCCATGTCACGTCTTGGTGCAGAGCCAGGCCCACAAGGGCCTCTCCACACAAAACGGGATTTCCAAACCCTGGCTGTGACACTTATGCCCACAGCTGCACCGCACAGTCCTCATCCAGCTAGCATAGTTGTAGAGTGAGTGGCTCCACTTAATTTTCTAGATGAATGCAGATCACGTCTTTAAATATCAACCCTTCTTGCCCTTCTTTTTGATAGTTTTATCCAAACAATCCTTACAGGTACTGATTCTTACCTAGGGTCTGCCAACTCCCTGAAACCCTATGCAAAGTGCTATGTGGGCATGGGAGTAGTCGGTAGCAAGTTTCTGGGGGAAAGGTCACCCCAGATTCTCACTGCTCTAAAATAGGACCATCTTTAAAAGAGGATGTCAAAGAGGAGTTTACCTCTCCTGATCATCAGGGTCACAGAGAACCCCCTCACTGTGCTACACCTAAATGTCAGCATGGTTCTGTGCCGCTCTGTGGCCCAGC